ATTAAGGCAAATCCTATGTGCATTTGTCTTAATAACTGCTGCTTTCAGTCGTAACGCTGCTGGCGTAAATAAGTTGTTTACTTATATCTACATCTTTTAGAAGCTACAAGATCTTTCCGGACCATTTGTCAGAGAACCTGGCTATTAAGCCGCTAGTCACCGACACCAATTCATTCTGTATGAATAAATAATAACTAACAAATAGCGTCCGTTTATTCTTTATTATATAACAACCGTAGTAGCTCAAGCAATATGTGTTCGCCACAAATTTCACGGTACCCGAACAACTTGGGTTCGATCCTCACAGACACCAATGATATTTTTAACAGCAATTATTTTAAGTGCTCTTTTACCATGTAGTGGTGTCAAAATTATCGTGATCAAAACCTGGATGTCAGAGGAGTAAAATATTTTGAGGACCTAAAGTCCATCAACATGCACTGAAAGCAGCGCTGTGAACTAATTGCTTTATAACAGTCTCAAAAATGAGATGTCTGTGATCAGCAGTGGTACAAACTGGTTTTTCTTTCTTTTAAGTTCATAACAATTATTGAGAAAAAGTTTATTTGGAAGGCTTATCTTGCTAGTAGTAGATAAATTGGACCATGTTGTGGAGATACGTTTCAACTGGTTTCAACCCACAAAAACAAAGATAATCGTATTTTAACCTAGACCATTCAAGGTCTAAGTATTTTTATGATAAATGTATTGTTCTTATAGTAGAAGGCCTATTAATTTGAAATAAAATTGGATGTTAATTTTGGGATTAATAGTAATTTTTCAGAAGTTATTCATACTCGGAAATAAAATGAAAATGAGATCGGATTATTAAAATAAAAACAGTTTTTTTCTAATTCAAAATAGATTATAAATAATAATTATTGAAAGTCAGTCTTTTGTTTAATATAACGCTGGTCTGGAAAAAACCTCTTGTTCTGGGAGGAAGCAGCAAAAAACCCAGCTGGACTTTTGAAATAAAATAACAGCTTGCAATCATATATGTTACACAATAAACAACACACAACACAAAACAAATTAGAAACAGCTTGGTGGCGATCACCTCATTCCCAGGGGTTTATCATCCTTAAATTCCTTATCACCCTTAAATTCCTTAATATTATAGGCAATACCCCTTTATAACAAAGGTTTCGTATTTTTCGTTGTCAATATTTTGGCCAGTATGTAGATCATTTCTGCACAACACGGTCCAATTTAAGTGTCCTAAACACAACATAACCGTGTAGTGGCGGTGTAAGAATATCCGCTACCCCATATCGTCCCGTGGATATCGTAAGAGGCGAGAGAGGGAAACAAATCAGGAGATGGACAGCAGGGTCTTCTTAATAACGACTAAAAATAGAAAACTGCAGTTGCCAACCTGCTTATCAAGCGTGGCAACTATTGCAAATATGGGAATATTGGATCCCAGGCCTCCTCCATAGATTGCCTATATTCAATCCATGGAGGAGACATGTGTTCGGCAGTGGACTTTAATAGGCTGTGAAGGTAAATGTAACATAAAATAACAATAAATTGAAAAAATAATTTTGTTTATGTTATATGTGACTTAAACATAAACAGGAAACCTTTGTTAAAGTTAATAAGTGCAACAATATGGGTGACACTATGACAACATTGAGATTATATGATTGAATACTTTGATCAACAATACCAACTAGATAAAGGGTCACATACAAAATCATAGCTAAATACTGTCAGCATGAATATAAAGTATGAAAAGACATAAATTAAATAACATTTAGTGTGAAATCAACCTTAAATTATAACTAATAAAGTTCTTTTCCCGTTATTGCCTTGCGAGCTACACTCTCACATGCAAGAGCTCACATATCATGTGCGCTCTTATTTACTGAGATGGACTTCTTACGCCCACCTGATATCTAGTTGGTATTGTTGATCGAAGATTGAATATGAGAGGGAATTTTAGCTTGTTTGTCTTAGTACTTATGAACCTACATTTTCAAGATATGTAAAATAAAATAAAATAATAATGAGCAAATGCAGAATAATCTCTACAACAAACCTAAAAACAAAAAAATAGACACGTTTATGCATACTTTTTTGTCATATCAAACTGAAATGATAAACGAACATACAACCTACTTTATGGTAAGAAGCTACTGCAGTCCTGGACACCTGCAACTGACAATATCTGACAGCCTGTAAGCATAGCGACTCTCTAAAGAGTCGAAGTAGTAAGGCAGAAAAGGAATTCGACCACTTAACAAACTTATGTTTATCCTTATTTAATATTCTAGTTTAATGCAATCTGTGGTGGTGTTTTGACCTGTGGTCTTAATATGTAGAAATAAATAACCTAATGGACCGGCAGTATAGCTCAAGAAACCGACAACCGTTGGGGTAAAAAGCTCGAGCGTGCTGGAAAAAGTGTAACAAAGTATTATTTTTATATTAGGAGTTACCTACGTTCCACAGTGGACTTGTGAAGGGCTGTGAAATAACCTAATATAACGCTTCCACCACTAGAGGCAGATATGATATTATTACCTTAGTATAATAATTACTTTGTAACTCATTATAAGTGAACAATTGTATGTTTAACTCTAGTCTAACTTCTAACAGTTGTATTTCTTATGAAAAACAAATTTCTTTAACCTGAGGCAGTTTCCTTGCACTTAGTCTGGTACAAAGTTGTTGTTGCTACAATCTTAACCTTCCCTGTCCCATTAATCATATTTTAACATTTTAATTGTTTAACTATTAAGTATTTATCGTGGACAGGGAAACTTAAGATAACAGGCATAGAACTAAAGTAGCAAGTGGTAAAATTAAAAAAAAATTTCAACAGACTTTAATATAAATAAAATGAGAACATCATCAATGGAGTCAGTCAATTAAATGAGAATTATTAAGAATAACTCAAAAACTACCAGTCAAATCATGATCAAATTTATATGGGACCACATGAGAAGCACCAGCTTTCAAATAAAAAAGCATCATAAAAATCGGTGCATCTAGAAAATGTAGGTACTGAGGTAACACACAAAAAAATACAGTCGAATTTAGTACCTTTCTTTTTAAAATTAGGTAAAATACAAGGGACTATTAAATTTTATGGGTTAAAAATTATTAGTATTAATTAATAAATGGTACTTATCTATATATAGCAGTAATCTAATTTTTTTGCATTTTTATCATAATATGGAATTTTTACAGTGCATACATGGATGTATATATGAATGATGATGAATATGTATATGAATTATAACATCCATCAGTGCACATTTATAGTAAATTACAAGTAGAATATATTATAAAATCAATGGTAATAATAATGGTAAACTGGTTAAGGAACATGTGAGTACCTACTTTACATGTCAAATAATAGACATTGTTTCTCCCTTGTTTTAAATGTAACCACAGTGTTGGAAATTTAAAAGGATTTTGTAAACTGTTAAAAATAATTCTAGAATGTACAAGAGGCATAATATAATACAATGATCTAAAAAAAGCATTAAAGTTAAAACAGGATATACTAAAATTGCTTACATTAGAATAGTAGACTGGTTGTTACGATGAACGGACTAGGAACCAACAGTCTCAAAATTGCTTGTATATTTTGTTACATGTTCCCTACGTTGTTATAACCATGTGATGGAAATATTTAGAAGCTTACCCTTTACTCTGTTATAGAAGGCATTCACTTGCCCCACTGCAGCTTCAACTGTCGGCATCGCCATGGCTTTCTGCACAGACTGCAACTGAGCCACTGTTGATGGTGATGTTCCTACTTCAGCTGCCATCTAGTAAAATTAAGAAGGTTAACAAATTAAAATATTTAGCTTTAGCTCAATATATTCAATTATTTTTGTAGAAATTACAAATGATTATCATAATAAATAATTTTTGAGGGTAAACTAAAAACTATTCTTAATCAAAATTTTATATAACATTATAGCATGAATCATCACAAAATTATAATGTAATTCTTAAATACAGCTTTTTTTAATTTTTATTAAAAAATGCTTTATTAAAAAAATATATTAGAGGAATTTGAAATGATGTTGCAATTGGCACAGCACAGAATGATTTATATACAAAAAACTTACATTCAACTCAATAAGACCCGATTTCACTAAAAGCAGTAATGCAGATATGGAACTATTATATTAAGAATAAATTCCGTGTAGCTCTAGCTGATGGTTGCCGTTGAATGAATAGAACAGAAACCGATTGCTTATCTTCAGTGACAAACTACGTTGCCGATAGCGAGCGATGCCACGGCCTTTTTTAATTATATACCCGCTAGTTTGTTAAGATTGGATTGGACTTTGAACGAAAAGTGATTGCTCGAACTTTCAACAACCTTCATGTATATTATATAGGTATGAGACGATACTTATGAGTACAGTAATCTATGTTCTTATGAGTAAGAGAGAAATATAATTCTTGGGCATGAGTCAACTGAGTAAAAATAACTCAATTACATGCACTTTGCACTTATTCAAGAATAACTTATGCTACCAACAACAGCAATATTCAAGAAAAAGAAGTAAAAGTAAATACTAAAAACAGGATATAAATAATAGTCTGTACTCTGTGACTAAAATAAATTAAATGGACTAGAAAATGAAAACTTCGTAGTGAAATAATAATTTTGTAAAAGAAGTGATCGCATTTCGTCACAATAGATCATATTTGACCCCTGTCATAATTTTTTAATAGGTAGTCATTTATTATGGTACTCTGTGTCATTATCACAAATATTTATACTGTAATTGTAACTACTATGACTATCTATGTTCTACATAACCAACCAACATTTTTGGTTGGTCGCCAAGTCGCCAACGCCAATGGCGAACATCGATCGCGTAATTTGTGGAACGAGGCCGATATAGTCATAAACAAACATTGGATACACAAATCTATCTGATTGGCTGCCAGCACAGTCCGTCTTTATTTGGAATTTTGTTCAGACGTGTTGATATAAAACATATTAGTTTTAAAGAAAATGAATAATGTCGTGGACAAATGATGTAGTTTTAGAATTTCTGGATCTGTATAAAAGGGAGGATATTCTCTGGGATCCCAAAAATCCATTACATAGAAACAGAAGAGAAATCAGTGAAGCATGGACTAGAATTCAGACATCATTAAGTATTAATTGTTCAGTGCAAGATCTGAAAAAAAAGAAAGAGTCTCTAATGACGTCCTTTAGAATGCACTGGAATAGAAAGAAAAAATCATTAGGAAATTATCATACTACTTGGTTCGCTTATCCATGCATGGAAAGTTTTCTGAGCGAGAAATATGAATGTGACAGTACAGAACAATTGGAAAACGAGGTATGTAATATTATAGTTTTTATAATGCCAACATTGTTTTTATTTTATTCATAATTCTGCAAGCTGTAGTTTGAGTACAACTACATTTCCTTGTCATTTGTACCATTTGAAAATATATAAAATATTTGACAGATTGTTGGCTGCAAATGTGTTTTAATAAAATATTATAATTTGATGTTTCTCAACAAGTATTTGCAGCCAACATTCTGTCAAATATGTTGCACCATCATTGGTGTCAATCAAAGACATCTAAAGTCAACCAAATCTAATGCCTGCAGTACACTATTCGCAAAGTTGAACGAAGAAATACATTTTGACAGTTGTCAGATTTATTGTACCAGGCATGCCAACCAAAAAATGGGAACATATATTATTCGATTCCTAAAAAAATCGATATCGATTATTTAGAGTTGTAATCATTTACAGTTTGGTTTGAATAACACCAGAATAAATTAAAACGGATAATTTAAAACACAAGATTTATCAGTTTCTACTTATTTGTTGTTAGCTACTGCTTATTTCTAGAGGCATAGTTATAAAAATTTAAGATTGTAACTAAATTAAAAATAAATTTATTCAATCACTTTCAGTAAAACTAGTTGAGCTGTCGTTGTTTCATTTTCAATAATGCAGTCAAAATTAATTTATATCTTTGTAAGTCATACATAATAATTTTTTGTTTTTTCTACCACTTTTGCCCAAGTATCCTTTGTGAAATGGGCACATGCTTCAACGAATATTGAAGAAACGGTCCAAAAAGTTAAAGCCGAGTCACAAAATAAGAAGACAAACACGAAATCACAAAATTACGCGCAGTAAGCTCCCGAAATGGCGGGATATTGAAATTACGCAGTGGTTTTTATATCGCGGCCTTGAATATAATTTTTTTGCCTACACAAATTTACGTTAACAAATTAAAAAATAAATAAACTGGTTTTATTTATAATTCATGTAATTTAAGGAATGTTAAAAATAAAAATTAAATTAAACAAATAATGTATTAAAAAAATTAATGTTTCGATTATTTCAATATTTTTACCGATTATTGGAATATTTTGCCGATTATTCGCATAACAATTAATTTTAATCATCCAAACACTACGGTAATGTACACAGCGACATATCATTGAAACGACGTCAAGTAAAAAAGTTGATACCGGTAATTTTTTTTAATATTTTGCTTTGTTTGAATTCAAATTTAAATTAGTGATAAAAAACTATAGACGTTGTAATGAAATATAGATAACTTTATAATTCTTCGGATTTACGTAAATGGTTAGTTTAAATCGTGTGAGTACGCTTGTGCAAAGTTATTGCTTAATGATTAATGTGAAACGTCAAAAGGCATTTCTTAGATTTGGTTGACTATAAGTATGTAGTAGTAATAGACCGGACATCAGCAATAAAATTGTCGTCTGTAACTTTTGTCCTATAGGATATATCTCCGATTTTTGTCATTTAGTCTAAGTGACATCATCGAAAGGTCAAGACGCATTCGTTTCATAAATTTAAAAAATATTTTTAAAGAAAATATGCCCGGTTGTGCACTAAGGTATAGTAAAGCGGGCTACATACGAGATGATATCGGTGGCGATCTAGGGTGGAAAGAAATCGGGGCTTTATCGGGGCAGACCCTACACACGGACCTGCCGAGAGCAGTGCGCGTTCGTACTTAGAGTGGAACGCATGTGCGAGAGAGCGCTCCAAATGCCTCTCAAAACACCAACGTGTTGACTTGGGATTTGCCCTCTCGGATAATTTATTCAAAAATAGAAAAAATAGGAGTTGCTGGGTGAGAAAATTACTCCAAAACAGACAATGACTAAGGCACATAAACGTGCTAAATGATCTGGAGTCCAAAGACATGATTAATTTTCTCCGGGTGGATGAAGACAGTTTTAGCAACCTTCTACAAATGATTTCGCCACTTATAGAAAAACAGAACATGGTAATGAGAGAAGCGATATTTGGCCACTGGGTCTAAACTTCAGTGCTGTCATATCGCCTAATTAATATCGATAATGATTCCCGACAAGGGCTATCACGAATGCCTTAAACATTATATTTAGGCAAGTAAAAGCCCAGGTTCTACCAAAGCAGAGATGTGTGAGAGGAGAGATACTGATGTTTCAAGTTTCTGCTATTTAGTTACTTCTTCTCTTTTTTTCATTTCTGCTTAGAACATCATCTTTAGTCCGGTGTTCCTCGCGTCTCTATTGAAATAATTTATATTTTGTTTATCTTGCATATGTGGATTCAGATTATAACTATCTATAATTTCAATTCATGCCTCCCGTTCATAAGTTCAAAGAGTATATAATCACTGTTTTGTTAACGTTTTCCCGCGAGGGCTACCGGCAGCGACTGTCAAACGAAACCGGGCCAATGCACCTACACACACGCAGTACGGACGGGGCGGGGTCCCGATCTAGGAAGCATCGTTTGCATTTTTGCTCCTGCCAGCCAATTAAGGAGGCGATAGCGGCCAATACTTAGGAGGCGATATCGGCCAATACTTACGACATGATTTAGAAGCAATCTAGGAGGCATCCCCACCACTCCACCCTAGATCGCCACCGATATCATCTCGTATGTAGCCTGCTTATGTCACGATATGGAGCAAAAAATGAACATGATTTCGGTTTATTATCCTAAGAATAATGTATATTTGCCAAACAATCTTTAAATTTTATTATTTCTGATAGATTGCTCTAGAAGAAAGAAAAAATATTGTAATAAGTGCCCTCTGTTATCCAGTAACGTCACTATTTATTTACAAATATGTTAGTAATTGACGACATAACTAAAACCGATTTTTACTTTATATTTAGAAGCGTCACCTAATGGGAAATAGCTAAAATATTTTCAAATAAATATTCAGCGTAGTATTGCTATTTTTCGCTAGAGGGCTTAACACACATGCGTGCTCACAGTTTTTGTATGCAAATGTTCCCAATGTCCGCCCTATAGTATATATATAGATATATATACATTTAAATCTCTTTTGTGTAAATGTAGCGTATATAGCATATTTCATTAAATTATTTACGTGCAAAAGAACTTTCGTTGCGAGTAAAACAAAACAATAACTTAGATTTTAAAATTAGTATTTAAAATCTCTCGCACAAAAACCAATCAATTACAGTTTTGAAAAACATGCATGTATATTCAATGTATTGCACCAAAGGCTTTAAAGCCTATGTGTCTCTCTTTTTTCAAAGCTCCACCTATAAGTAGAAGCACAAAATTATTATTCTACCATTAACACTACAATAACACATTCTTTTCTTTTAGTTCTTCAATAATACAATCGACCAATCACAACAGCAACAAATATCATCGGAACTTAATATTGGCCAAAGATATACGACAACAGAAAGAAATAATGATGTTAAAAGATATACGAGGTCGACTGTTTCGACTAATACCACTAATAACAAAACAAACAAAACAAGTAATTCAAATTATGACCATGTATATACCAAAAAAGAAACAAACGAAGACGAGCGGTTATTGAGACTCCCTACAGAGAGAAGAGATATTGATGAATACGACTTGTACGGCCAACTTTTGGCAAAAAAGTTAAGAAAACTAGAAGAACACCAGCGAGACGTTGCTATGCACGAGATCGATAATATTATGTTTAGAGCTAAAATGCAAAGTAGCACAAGTCAAGCTCGAAGCTTTTCGTCTTCCCCTTCGCCTGTGCCCAGAAAGATGAAGTCGCCCGTTTTCATAGTGACCCAGCAAAACCATCAACAATATGAAGATGAAAATATCCCCTATCAAGAACATATGCAACCCCAAGCGCCGTCTTAGTGCTGCTTTTAATATTTTAAATTTTATTACCATAATTACTTCTTGTATGAAAAATATAAAATATCGTAGTTGTGTAATAAATTTATTGCGTATATTATATTATACATGTTATGTTTTTGATAATAGTATGAAAATATTTAAATGTTATCCCAAAGCAAATTTTTAAATGTTATCTTGGGACCAACATTTGTTAAGTAACTGACGACAAATGCTTTACATAACAGGATATGTTAAACAAATGTTTGATAATATTTTACTGTTGGTTTGTTCGATAGAGGTACATATTTTAAACATTTAAACTCAGATATTTTTTACTTCATCTGAGCATTCAAAACTAAGTCGATCCAGAAGAAGCTCCGGTTGCCCAGATTCTATAACTGTGGGATAGATTAACGATGACAGAGTCACAGTCTAAGAAAGTTACTCTTCAATGAAAGTATCATCATCATCATCACCCTTCTGCCAAGTTTACGCAGCATATTATGTACGTGAGTACGTGCACGCGTGCGTGTGTGCGTGCGTTCGTGTTTGTGCGTGCGTGCGTGCGTTTGTGTGCGTGCGTGCGTGCGTGCGTGCGTGTGTGCGTGCGTGCGTGCGTGTGTGCGTGCTTGCCTGCGTGTATCACAGAATAAACAATACTTCAAGGAAAGGAAAGGGTACAGACCGAGATGACAGAGACGAGTCTTATGGATAATTGACTACTTCCTATGCTTGTTTACTTCCCCTTTCCCCTCTTCCCGTTCGATGCATTCATAGATAATTTGATGTGATACTTTGATACTCATTGCACTGTACTCATGTGGGATAATTCGTTAGATGTACTAATTCTACTTGCTAAAATATTTTTTATTTTAGCAATAGATTACAGATATATTAGGTACTACCTTTATACTCGCGGCTTCGCTCGCGTGGGCTTTAATTTAGCAACATTAATAAATGTTGTTCCGTACCAAATTTGGCAAAACTCGATCACTATAATGGTCGCCACACACGGTCGGTTCTACTGATCATTCCAACTGATCCATTAATCACGAAATATCGCGAGGAGAGAGGGGGGTGTAGTAAGATTATCACGTGTATTAATTTTTTCGTCAACCGCACGATTTCTAACTGTAAAGCGGCGTGTATTGTGACCTTGACTCTCCTGTACATGCTTGTGACAAATTCATGTCACAAGCATGAACCAAATCTGAGCAATAATAGTCTAGAGATGCACAATGTTTGTCCTTCACGCATCCTCCCGCGACGATCGATCTGTAGATCAAGAGAAAAGAACTCTGTAGTGCGCGAAAATGATAACGCCGAGTGGCTTGATGAAACCGACACTAGTCTTTAACAAAGCACAGTGCCAACAACTGCCTTGCAAGATGCTCATCCAGTTGTTAGTATTAAAGAAAGTCTTGCTAATCCGTGGTCCGAGGACAATGTACATTAAATATGTTCATGTACTAGTACAATATATGTTTTTAGCATGATTACACAATTCCTTTAACATTATTTTTATGCCAGTCAAAAACAACCTGCAACCTTTCTGTCTAGACATTTTAATCATGGTCCTCAATTTCAGAATAAAACTAGATTATACTTTATAGGTACTAAAATACACATGATTTTGGATGGAAGGGGGGGTCTCGGTTAGTCTTAAACCTCACCACGTATTACCAAGAGGGAGAGGGGGTGTTAAAATGCTAAAAACATCACGTGATTAATGGACGGCCCCCTTGGACTGTTGATATTTTTTTAAATATCGGATTTTCGATATATCGATAATTATAAATATATCAATATCGGAGTTTCATATATATAACTTTATTTATGGATATATCGAAAATCGGATATTTTCAGAAATATCAACAGTCCTAGTTTGAACTGATCAGTTGGAATGATCAGTTGAACTGACTGTGTGTGTCGTCTATAAGAGTCACCTCGGTGTCTGTGTCTCTCTTTATGTCTGTTTGTCAAAGAGTTTTTTTTTAATTCTCAAAGATTTGGACGTAGATGATTGATAGTTGGCATAGATTTAATACGTTATAGCAACACGTGAATAAATAACTTTTTCATAATTGCATTAATATCTTATATCTATAAACACTTTTTATAGCAGGCGTGTCGTCCGACGTATCCATAAGAAACGTTATTTACCTACATTTTCCATTTGGAAAAAATTGCGTTATTTACATTTTATACTTTACATTCTTTCATCATTAAAGTTAATTTAGTTTTAAAAAAACGATAATGAATTTTATTGACGTCTATTAATTTACGATATGACGTTTACTTGCCGTAGACAGAGAAACCTATAGACTAATGATTAGCGTGGCCTCGAGTGAGAAAGGACGATAACATAGTTTTAGGTTATACAATAGTCTTTATTACTTTTAAACATATTTAGATAAAACATTTATTTGTTTTAAAAAGTGAATTGAACAAGATTCACCAATCTTAAGCTCACAAAACACTTTTTTTCTCACTTAAACCAAATTTTAAACTCCCTAGATCGCTACGAACTGTCAAAGTTGTTTAGCAAAGTGTAGTTTGCTAACAAAAAAACCGGCACCGAGAAAGGGACAAACAATCACACCGCTCTGTCTCATTTCTATGCAAAGCGTATGCATAAATCTATCTTTTTCGTGTGCGAATGCGAAAGAAGGTGTCAATTTGTCTATAGGTTTTTCTGTCTACGTTTACTTGCGATATTTGATTAATATTATTGGTCCCATTTAGTATTGATTGGCATCATAAAATAAATGATGATATTATTTTTACGTCCGAGTAGACTGCAAAATGTCATAAATGAAGTTCTATAAAGATTTCTTTTATATAAGTTACGCGAATACTGCACATGGAATAAAATTAAATTTACATATTTTATCGCGTTAATTTTAACTTTTTATGTGAAATGTCTATGAAAACACATCACTGATGTGAAGCACTGACGCTACAGAAGGTGAAGTCCGTCAACATGTTCAGTATTGTCCCAACCATTATAATATCAGATCTGTCAGATCAGATGGACCATAACTTCTCGCAAAAGAACCGCAATTCCTAACAAGAATGATATACGAGGCTATTAAAATTAAAAAAACGTACTTTAAATACAGAACATGTCTGGGTTCTATCATCTGCTTAGATCCCATAATTACTAAAATTAAATTTCAACCCAGGCATACTACTGCAAGACTTATAGCTTTCGTTAAGTATAACATCAGGACGTCAAACATCCCAGTTTTGTTACAGAGAGCACGAGAGATCTGTGACAGCAAACACCTGGCCGCCGAGCTTCAGCATGTCAAGCAGGTTCTGCACGACAACAAGCTTCGGGTCCCGCGCCTACGTCACAGTGACCGAGTGAAGCCGGCCACAGTCGAGCGTGTGCCTGCTGTACTACCATATGTCAGAGGTGTCACAGTCAAGATTGGCTACATCTTGGAGCGAGCTTCTATTAAAACATTTTACAAGCCGCCGAAGAAGATTGGTCAGTTCTTACCATACGTCAAGTGTCATATTCTTCTACAAGATGCAGGAGTGTACAAACTTGATTGTGATTGTGGTCTCTCATATATAGGGCAAACAAAGAGATCAATTAGAACGTGCGTAAAATAACACATAGCTGACGTGAAGCATCAACGTTCCGGGAAGTCTGCAGTTTGCGATCATATCCTAGACGGCTCCAATCATTATATCAGATTTGATGGACCACAAATGCTCGCGAAAGAACATCGATTTCTACCAAGGATGATACGTGAGGCTATTGAAATTAAAAAACATCCTAATTTCAATAGAGAAGGAGGCTGGGTCCTACAACCTGCTTGGGACCCTATAATTAACAAAATTAAAACTAAACCCAAGCATACCACTGCCAGACTTCAAAACACAGTTCATTCTGCGTAGATGGGACCAAAGACAATAATTTAAAAGCTGAAGGTACTCCCGGTTAACTTTGATATCGGGACGTCAGTCACCTCAGTCCCCAGTGACCATGGGTGCTGGAAAGCACCCGAAACGTCAGGTATTAAAAATAACATAAATAAACGCGATAAAATCCGTAAAAGTAGTTTGAATCAAAGTTTTTCATAATTACATTAATATCTTATGTCTATAATCACCTTTGCCGTGTAGTGGCGGTTAAGAATATCCACTACCCCATATCTGCCCGTGGGTGTCGTAAAAGGCGACAGAGGGAAACAGGCAGGAGATGGGCAGCAGCATCTTCGTGATAGCAGCAACTGTACAACAAAAAAAAACTGCGCCAAGCGTGGCAACTATGGCAATATACCCCCATGAAGAATTACACAAATAGACGGCCCCCAGTCCCCGGCGGCCCCGCTATTCTTGACTATGGTGGCGACCATGGTAACGGCGGGGCAGGGGGTGCTAAGAATCTCCGGTGGAGGTTCGGTTGCCACCTACGACGACTCGACCACCAAACGGTATTCGCTGAAGGTCATACAGGTTTACGCACCAACGTCGTAACATCCCGATGAGGAGGTGGAGGAAATGTATGAGGACATTTCTAGAGCCTTGCATTCCTCCAAAACTCACTATACGGTGTTAATGGGAGACTTCAACGCAAAACTGGGCACAAAAAAAGAATGGTGAGCTGAAGGTAGGGAAATTTGGGATAGGGCAACGGAACCCAAGGGGTCAGCAGCTGGCCGACTTCATGGAGAAAGAGGGACTTTTATGTTCTTTCTTCCAGAAGCGGCCCTACAGAAAGTGGACCTGGTCGAGCCCCGACGGTTCGACAAAAAACGAGATTGACTTCATTATGACGACCAGACGCCAACTGTTTAGTGATGTCTCAGTGATCGCAAGGGTGAAAACTGGCAGCGATCACCGAATGGTTAGAGGCACACTGAACCTAAACGTTAAGTTGGAGAGGTCTCGTCTAATGAAGTCAACGCTCCGTCCGCCTCGTGCTCTAATCCAGAATCCCGAAACCTTTCAGCTCGAGTTACGTAAGCGCTTTCAGTGCCTAAAAGATTGCAATGCAGTGGACG